TTAACCCGCGCGGGGCTGGGGGGGGGTAAATTTTACCCCCCCTCGCGAATTTTTGCAATATCTCAAAAACGGCGGCGCGCAGCGCCGCCAAACTTTCAGTACCTTTTCTTACATCAATTTGACACGTTCCCTGAAAATTTGAGCGAAATCCGTTGGAAAATTTTTGAGAAATTGACGTTTTAGTGACGTCATGTTCGCCATTTTCGCCTCAAAAACGGCAAAAGTTCAAACGCCGCTAACATCTTCATTTTTAAAGGAATCAAGACGTAACAAAAAAGGATATACGTAATTTTACTTTGTCTATCAAATGGCTATCTCGGTTTTTTGAAAATTTTGGATTTGGCCCAAATTTTTTTTTTCTCAAAAAACTGACTTTTTTGGGAAAATAGCTATAAAATCCAAAATTTTGAGTGTATCGAAAAAACGAAGTGGTCTATGTAAACCTACATACCAAGTTTTAGAAGAATCGGTTCAAAAATGTGGGAGTTATTCAAAATTGTATGACGTCACGACACACAAAATTTTGAAAAATGACTTTTTTTTTTGGAAATTCTAGACCTCGTACGGAAACAAAAATAGCACCATTCGATTCGCCGTGAAAAACTGCATCAGATAGACACCTTTTTAGGCCTTAACAGCCAACTTCAAAATTTGACCTCACTTGCCCAGCCAGCAATTCACTTGGGCTGAACTGTGGCAAACGTCGGGCAGCTTAGGCTTAGCTTGGGTTTGCCCACTTTGATCAAAACCAATGTATTTTTTACTAGGGCTGAGCTTGGGCATGCCGCAGCTATGCCCACGTGCGGATAGCAGTAGCTCAGCCCGACATCTGCCCGCGCATCCAAAACAGGCTTAACTTGGGCGGAACGCGGGCTGATCAAGCTGGCTGTGTCCTTCGGCTAACTGGAGTAAAGCCGGAGTTTAGCCATACTTGTTCGGCTGTTCGCGCATGCGCAGTTCTGCGCCAATCATGTGCAGCGTTTGTGACAGTCTGCGCGCTGCGCGACGAAACGACACACCGGTGTTGGGGCATTTGGTGGTTGATGTTTGGGCGCGTGTGACAGCGCGAAGAAGGGATAGTGCTCATTGCTCTTATCAAGTGGACTGGCATGGAGTTTTACGGTAGGTAATTGTATTGAATGGTGCGCTTGATCGTATGTAAACGTCATTATTTTGACTGAGTTTCACGCCATCAAACATGAAGCTGAATAGCTGTTCAGCCTGGCGACTTATACCCTCGCTCAGAAAAGCCGCATTCCGTGCCTTTATGTATATCTTTGTGAAATACCAGCACTTCTGAACCAGGAAAACGAAATACAAAACACAAATATTTATCTGCTTTCACCGAGCACGCTCATTCTCTGTCCGCGTTGAAAAATTCGAATGAACATTTTATACGGATCAATGAGAAGTGCTGTTACAGTATTAATGCAACAATAAGTTATTTTTCGAGCAAACATGCAATGTAAATTAAACCAATTGATCTCTTTTTCAGGTACGTACCATTAGAGCAAATGGTTCCAAAAAATGGAATATGTTATACAAACCAGGACCGGGTGGACGCCGCTGTCGCCCTCGCCAAGCGGTTTAGCGGAAACTGCCTGCTTATAATTAAGTAGGTATACCTACATATACGGAAACTGCGCCGAAAGCTGGCCGACACCACCTACTGCAGATGTGTGTGTGTGGAGGAGCCAGACGCCTCCATAGCTCCCATTCACCAGAGTGAAGTTCTTTATAAACGATTGTTTGCTAATTGTTTTATGTCTTATGAGCGATTACTTGCTGTCCTTACTTTATGCTTTCGGTTAAGTGTTCAACCAAGTACTATGAACGCCGAACGGGGAGGAAGGCTAGCGGGTCTTGTGATTGATTTATAGTTTTGATGGCGCCTTTTCATGACTCATGCCATATTATTGCTGCAGTTTGCAGTCCACTGTTTCATGTATTTGTGTTTCATTTGACGTGTCTGTAGTCGTTTGAAATAAACATTAAATCGAAGTCAACCACTACTTTCCTTTCGCAATGCTCGATGACCGGTTAACAGAGCATATGAGTGACCGTAGCAATTTTAAATATGCATTAAAACCACACAACCTGCTGAAAGTGCATTGGCTGCTCCTTGCTACTTGATCCAGTGTGAAGCAAAAGCAAGATGAAGTCAAGTCGAGACTTGAGAAAACAGGAGCCGTCACTCGAGCTGAACCCGAGCAAAGCCACAGCAGTTTGCAATGTATAAACCCCATTCACTTCTATGGCTTAAGTCGGGATAGACAGGGCACACAGAGTGGGCTTGCCGGAGTTCAGCCCGCTCGGGCCCAGAGTAATCTCCATTATACAAATGGATTCACTGCTCGGGCTTAAATCGGGCTAACGCCAATCGTCGCTCAACTAGGGCTAAACTACGGCTGCCCGGAGCTCGCAGAGCGGGCATACCTCCGGCAGAGCATGGGCTTTAGTCGGCGTTTCTGTGTCATACGCCGACTTAAGCCCAAGCCCTAGCCGACTTTAGCCCGACTAAAAATCTCGGGCAATCCGCACTTGAGCCTGCTTGGGCCCGGAGCAAAATTGCTGGCTGGGTGACCTGACCTTGACCTGACCTCGACCTGAAATTCATCCAGAGGTGGTCCATATCACTTATTGAGTGTGCCTATTGAATTCTATGAGTAAAATGACCCATAAAACATGTGTCGCACATGCCCTTTTCTATATTTTGTTTTTGGTGACCTGACCTGACCTGACCTGACCTTGACCTTGACCTCTGAATGATATTGTATGCAACGAATATTGTCTTGGTAGCCTAAGAACACGTTTTGGGCGATCAGTCTCAGTCCATGACTCCATTCTTCGGCAACTACGGTGCAAGGCCGATACTGTAGGAACTTGCAATTTGTACCCTTGACCTGACCTTGACCTTGACCTCAAACTTAAAATTAAGTACATGTTTTTAGTTGTTCGTGATGAGATCTTTCGATTGGCGTTTGAATTTTCCAAATCAGACCATTAGTTCGCGAGATAACAGGGGGGGGGGGTAAAATTTACCCCACCCAGCCCCGCGCGTTCGGCTGGAGACCCCAGCCCCGCGCGGGTTAAGTCTTAGGTCACCTTAGGTCAGGAGTTATTGAGGTCAAACTGAGGTCATGTTCGAGCAAAAATGAGCAAAAAACATGCAATCTTGAAACGCTCACCAAATCTACAGTTAACAAGCAATTTCAACGTTCTTTATATCGTCTAGTAGAAAACAGCGGCGCTACAAAACTGTGATCTTGGATTTTTAAAATTTAGGGTTTTTGACCAAAAAAAAATCAAAAAATTAAAACTAAAAAAACTTCCGAATTTCGAAAAAAAAACGGAATATATGTGATAGTCCCTGCACTCTTCTATATACATACCAAATTTCAGACCCATATCTCGTTTTTTGGCCAAGTTATAGAGAAAAAAACTGTTCAAATATGATTACGTCAAATTTTCGAACTCAATTTTTAGCGATTCTAGGCCACGTACGGCAAAACAAAGACCACCATTGAACTCCCCGTGACGAGTGGCATCGGTTCAAAACCCATTTTACGCAAAAATATCAACTTTGAAATTTGACCTAATTTGACCTGACCTTGACCTGACCTTGACCTGACCTTGACCTGACTTTGACCAAAACGTGACCTAAGCTGGCCCCAAAGGCTGCCTGACCCACATAATCGCATTTGTCATGTAAAATGGACCATAAAACATGTATCACACGACACTTTCATATTGTGACCCCCCAGTGACCTGACCTCTGTGACCTGACCTGGTATCAGTGACCTCAGATAGCAAAATATGTGTTTGAAGAACATTTCCTCATCGATGATTTTGAATGAAATGCATTTTACTCGATTTTACAACGCATTTCTTGAAATGCCTGTACACGGTGAAAATTCGACCTTTGACCTGACCTGTGACGTCATCGGTTTGACCTAGGTCAATAAAATTGGGTCACAAGGTAGTTCCCTGATAGGGCTATCCAACACCGTTTGCCGCTTGTCGCTAGGTTGCGTGGTTCTTGAGATCTTGGGGGGGGGGGGGGCAAAATGTCCCCCCAACAGGGCGCGTTGCTCGGCAGAGCCCAACGGTGCGCGGGTTAAAGAAATCAAAATAAAAGATTATCGACTGAACACAAATTCACCAGACTTCAATGGTGGTGTGTAGTGGGAAAGGCAATTCTGGTCCTAATTTTTCTCGCTCGTAGCGCTATTGGTTTGTTCTGCAGAAGGGGTGCCCGTCTTACCTACCCTGACTGTCTTACCCCACTTTCCCCTATATTCCGAACTAGGCATATTTTATTGATGTCAATTGATCAATCTGACAGCTTTTGAAAACTTTTCACATAAGTATTTTTTTCAGCTCTTATGTGTAGCTAATTATTTCAATTTTGTATCCTTATAAATTTTGTAACGTAAATATCATGTCCAATACAGGCCCAAACCATTGACCAGCACCATTCATCACACGACTTGTCATCCTACGGCTTACCATGGCTTATGGCTTCCGTCTTACCTTAGGATGAGGCAGCATTACCTGCAGTACATGTAATATGTGTTGTATCCAGTTATTCTTGGTTTGATTTAGGCTTCAGATTTTCAGAGATAAACTGCTTCTCCACGTTATTTATGAACATTTGCTAGAAAAAAGCAGTTCCTTAGAGCAAAAATAACAAGCAAGGAGCGTTGCCGCCGGCCAGTTTTCCTGTTCTTCGTGTCCCTGTGTCGCCCCCTGCCCGTTCAGGAGCGCCCGGCAGCGCCACCTGCACCTGACCAGTCCGGCAGCGTTTGGGGTCGCCGCGCACCGCCGACAATCAGCTGACGCGCCCGGCAGCGCGTCTCAAGGTCACTGGAGGTCAGCCGGGCCGCGGCCCGCCGGGGTGGCCGTGACGTCACAGCCAGCGAACGTTGAGCGCCGGAACAGCTACTGTTGTTTATCCCTTCCTAGCCATTCATATATGAGTAACTTCAACCGCTGCTCACCATCCGTGACTAGTAGCGTAATCCGTGACCCCAGCTCCGTGGCCAGGTGACTGATGGTGTCGGCAGCTACCCCCTGGAGAGATACCGACAGACCACTCCCGTACCGTCCCGGCCACCTCGGCTTCGTCACCTCCGGCCCTGTCGGACAGAGCTGTGTCAGCTGACAGCTGTCGGACGGAGCTGCTGCCGGGTCGGGAGGCGGCTGACACTGTGGTGTCAAACCCTGACACAGACGACACTGACAAAGCCAGGGTCGATCGGCACTGTTGGACAGTAATTGAACATTGTGCACAATGCATGCACTATAATGCGTTTCCTCAACATATTCTTACCGGCAACGTATAGCGTCCTCAGTGACGTCGGCAGCAGCCGCAGCCACCGCCCCGTTCCGAAGGACGGGACCCTGACGGTCAGCTCCTCCAAGCGAGGAAGACTCTGCAGAAGCGCCGTCAGCTGGTCCTCGCCAAGGGCTGACGGAGCGTCGAACGTCGTCACTGTCCTTAGCGCCTCTCTCAGCACTGTGGTATCACTGTCTGCCGGTGGCTGGGACTCCGTCTGTACCGTGACGTTATGAAACGCTTTTGAAATTTTACTGAAAAGACAAGAAAAAAGGAACATAAATCAAAATGCAAAAGAAGTTTACAACTTTAGTTGGCTCCTTTGATGATACGATATGCATTTACATATCGTCGTCAGCAATAGTATGTTGCCAAATCTATTCGGTTGAATAAAATCGTTCAGAGTTGATTTCATACGAATCTGAACGATTTGATACGACCGATTAGATTTTGTGACACGATTGCTGATGAAGACATGTAAATACGTGCGGGATATAATGCCCCGAACTGGCCAACTTTATGCAGATTGCAGGACGTCTGTCGAAAACTGGAACAATACGATCGAGACTAAACGGCTAACTTGCGAAAGATGGTACGAATTCCAGACATGTTTCTTTGATTGGGCGGAAATTACAATTACAAGTTACTCGACCTTCAAGGACCTAGTTGTGGTTTATTTCTTACACCTTCTACAAAGAAAGTTTACTTCTCACCATGACAGCTCTCCGAACTCTTTCAGCCCCCACAGCCACCCCTGCTGCCTCCCAGTCTCACCCCTGGGGACGGCCGGATGGCGCCGCTCGCCGGCGGACCTCCTGCCGCAGATCCTCCACCACGGTCTGGCGAGTGGTCCGCTCCTCGATAACTGCCTGCTCCAGGCGGACCATCGCACCGTGAAGTACGGCGTACTCCCCCTTGAGCTTCTGCGTGTCCGAATGGTCCTTCGCCACTACCTCACTCAGAATGGTCACCTTTTCACGAAGGGGGACCACCACTTCCCGAAGGGCGGACATCTCTTCACGAAGGGCAGCCACCACTTCACGAAGGGCGGACACCTCCCGGCGAAGGGCGGCCAGGTCTTCACGCACATCTGTCATCTCCATCTGTAACGCATAATTACAGTTTTTTACGTTTCTACTAATCATAAAAAGGTGACATAGTACGTGGTGTTACGTCGTACGCATTACGACCTGTCGTGCAGCGTCGTGTCTAATCATGTCACAAAACGACGTGTCATTACGTATTACGACATGTTTTGTCATGCAACCCGCATTGTTGCATACCAGGCAGGCAAGCTTGGCAGGCAGGCAAACAGGTCTTAGGTAACCAATATCAAAATTTACTATCGTTACTAGTTTTTCGCAAAAAAAAACGAGATAATAAAGAAACGTTATTACTACGAATGTTTACCCCATGGCCGGGCCTTTTTCATAACGCGGACGGTGCAGTGGAGGGTCTGGCTGTACGACCCCTGGCGATTGGCTCCTGATGTACTTAGAAACACCAGATGTATACTTATAGGATGGATAGGATGTATAGGACACAGCCAGTCACACAGCAGGACTGACACAGTCACACAGCAGGACCTCGGCTAAGGAATTTCGACTGGGGGATGGGGGACAAACCAGACTCCAGAAATCAGAATGTCATATACCACCTAATATGCACCGTATAAGCGGACCTTTACACCATACCTAACATTCATACCATATACCGTAGGTAACGGTATACCAAAATTCTGCCTAATCAGTTAAGCATACGTAAACATGTCTAAACAAACTTCTATCAAAGGTTTGGAGGCCAGCGTAGGGCCCTCAGAAGCCGAAGTCGAGCCGTCGGAGGCTAGCATGGTCATTTAGAGTCCGCTTTGGGACCTTAAATAGCCAAATGTGGACATGGGGCCCAAAGAAGCCAGTGCGTAGCCCTTTTAGACCAGCGTGGGGCAATATAAGGGCAGCGTGGGTTCCTCTAAGACCAGCGGCGTGGGGTCTTCTGAGGCCAGATTGGGGCCCACTGGGAACAGCTCAGCTTGGGGCTATCTAAGGACAATGTAGGTCACTAGCCCCTCTTAGGTTAACGTGGGACCCTCTGTCCTCTGAAGTCTAAGGTTGGCGCTGGGCCCTCAGAGGCTGGCTTTGGGCCATCAGAGGCCACCTAGAGGGCCTCGACGGTCAGACTGTAGCCCTTATGCATGTTTAACCCACGAGCCGCTGGGGGGACATAGAGTTGCCCCCCTTTACGTTTTGCGGAATATCTCCGAAACCTGATAAGCTACGAACGTGAAACTCAGGGTAGCTTCAAATGAATACCAAGGCAATGTTTGAGCAGAATTTGGTAGTTGTAGCACTTAAGATGACGTCACAGTGACGTCATAAAATATTGTCGTTTTCCTATACGGACCGTTTCTGATGACGCTGAGCATGAAACTCAACTGTAAATGAATTAGACAGCACCTGCTGTCATCCTGAAACACCTAAATACACTTCCATCTAGGTCCTGACCAATAATCGGCCCTTTATATACGGTCCCATATATCTGATATATCGTGAGGAAACTGGAGAGTCGCAAATCTATAATTTCACTTATGACGTCACTGTGACGTCATTTCAGATGAAATCGACATTAAATTTAGACACAACCTCGGCTATGTATTCAGGAAAATATGTGCAAAGTTTCGCTTCTCTATCTCTTCGCGTTGCGACGATATCGTCGCAGAAGTAAAGGGGGGGGGCAACTATATGCCCCCCAGCGGACGGCGGATGGCGCGGAGGCCCAGCGGCCGCCGGGTACTTTAAACAAGGATTACACATCACTTTCATATTGTGGTCCTCAGTGACCTGACCTCTGTTACCTGACCTGGTATCAGTGACCTCAAATAGCAAAATATGTGTTTCACGCGCAATTCTTGCGCCCATTCGGGGCGCGGGATTGCAAAAAAAAAACTGATCTTTTTGTTTTGCAAAACTAAAATGCAAACCAAAAAGATCAGTTTTTTATTTTGTTTTGCATTTTAGGGGATTATTTCAAAAGTCACTTTTTTAACCCTCGCCCCGTTGGGGGGGGGGGGAGGGGGCAATTTGGCCCCTCCCTGTGGTTTTTCCTGAATAGCAAGAAAACGGCGGCGCGCAGCGCCGATAAATTGTCAGTTCCTTCCAGGGCATCAATTTGACACCTTCACACCAAATTTCAAGCCTTAGGTCACCTTAGGTAAGGAGTTATTGAGGTCAAACTGAGGTCGTGTTCGAGCAAAAATGAACAAAAAACATGCAATCTTGAAACGCTCACCAAATCTACAGTTACAAAGCAATTTCAAACTTCTTTATATGGTCTAGTCGACAAAAAGCGGCGCTACAAAAATGTTATCTCGGATTTTTAAAATTTTGGGTTTTTGACCCAAAAAATTCAAAAAAATGGTGTTTTTCCAAAACTAAAAAAAATCCCAAAATTTTCCGAATTTCGAAAAAAATCGAAATATATGTGATGGTCCCTGAGCTCTTCTATATACATACCAAATTTCAGATCGATATCTCGTTTTTTGGCCAAGATATAGCGAAAAATCTGTTCAAAAATGATGACGTCAAATTTTTAACCCTCGCCCTGGCAGGGGGGGGGGGTCGATGCGACCCCCCCCCTAAGGTTTTTCGAAGATAGCGTAAAAACGGCGGCGCGCAGCGCCGCCAAATTTGGCACAGCCTACTGGGCAACCTTTTTACATATGACCTGAAAATTTCAGGTCCGGGTGACCTTATGTCAGGTCACCAGGTCAGAAAAACCGGTACAAGGTCATGGTCAAATTTCAATTTTCTTTTTGCACCTGTCCAACTCACAGTTTTGGACTGATTTCCTTCAAACTTTCAGGATGTACTAAGTTCACCGAGTTGTATAACATATATTCCGGTTTTTTTGAGGTCACTGACCTGAGGTCAGTTAGAGGTCATTACGTCGTAATGTTAAGCCTATGGGAAAATACTAAATTCGGAAAATACTGGAGATATCCGCTTCGTTCTATCACTTTTGTGCTTTGAAACCACAGTACGTAACAGCAGGTCACTTGGTGCTTCTTTGTTTGGTGTACTTATCCATGGGTCAGGTCAAATGAGGTCAACTGAGGTCAAATGACGTTTTTGCCAATAACTTGACACATAATGACGCTAGAGCTTAAAAAATGGTATCATTGTGTTCCTGGTGATCAGCCGAATCGAATGATATGCGATATGATGCAATTTGGTTAACTTGAACTTAAGTTATTAATTTAAGTTTACTTAAAATTTAAGAAAAACTTTAAGTACACTTAAGCAAGCTAAAAAGTATATCATTCGACGCGCCTTGACGTGCTGAGTTCACTGGTGCTTTTCTTTTTGCTCTATCTTAATTAGATCAAAAGTTATAAGCGAAAAACTTTTGACCTGTTTTTAGCGAAATTTTTACATTTATACCCCCCAAAACCCCCCTAAATATTGACCTAGAGCAACCAAATTTGCACAGGGGCGAGAACTCCAGGGGGCCCACCTACCTACCAAATTTGGTGTTTCTAGGTGCCATAGGAGCCAATCGCGAGGGGGGGGGGGGTCGCATCGACCCCCCCCTGCCAGGCCGTGTTATGAAAAATGCCCTGCCAGGGCGAGGGTTAAACTCAATTTTAGCGATTCTAGACCACGTAGGGCAAAACAAAGACCACCATTGAACTCCCCGTGACGAGCTGCATCAATTCAATACCCATTTTGTGCAAAAATATCAACTTTGAAATTTGACCTAATTTGACCTGACCTTGACCTGACCTTGACCAAAAAGTGACCAAAGCTGGCACAAAAGTCTGCCTGACCCACATAATCGCATTTGTCATGTAAAATGGACCATAAAACATGTATCACACGACACTTTCATATTGTTACCCCCCCCCCCCCGCCCCAGTGACCTGACCTCTGTGGCCTGACCTGGCATCAGTGACCTCAAATAGCAAAATATGTGTTTGAAGAACATTTCCCCATCGATTATTTTCAATGAAATGCATTTTACTCGATTTTACAACGCATTTCTTGAAATGCCTGTAAACGGTGAAAATTCGACCTTTGACCTGACCTGCAACATCATCGGCTTGACCTAGGTCAACAAAATTGGGTCATAAGGTAGTTCCCTGATAGGGCTATCCAACACCGGTTGCCGCTTGTCGCTAGGTTGCGTGGTTCTCGAGATCTTTGGGGGGGGCAAATTGCCCCCCCCCAACGGGGTGCGTTGCTCGACAGAGCCCAACGGGGCGCGGGTTAATTTGGGGTTCAAAATCAAAGCAAATATATAACAAACAAGATAGCAGTTTTGTAGCGCTGCTCGTTTTATATCTTTTTGTTTTTCAACATTTTCCTTTATCTTTAAAACTTTGGGCTTGACAGCTCCTCCCATCAAACCTCTTTTGAGTCGGAAATGCCTGAACGTGACGTCACTCTGACGTCATTTGCGGCCAACCTATCATAGACTGTGGAAGAAAATGTAACGAGGTGTAAAACCGATTTACAAGAGGGCCGGGTTCTGAAATTTTCGCGGCGATCGGCGCATTAATTTGGGAGATAGTGCGAAACGACTGGAACGGGGGGGGGGGGGCATAAAACACCCCCAACCAGGGCGCGGGCTAAAAAGTTTCCACTGGGTCCTCTAAAGTAAAGGTAACATCAGGATTGTGGATACGCCGCTGGATGTTCTCTACGATATTAGACTAAGAGCAGTGTAAACACGAGCGACAAAATATGAAAAGGAAATAGGATTGATTGACTTTCACATTGGGTTTGACAGCTTGGAGAATATTTATTTGAAGCGCATTATATTTACTCCGACAGGGTAGGCAAAATCTCTTCACTGCAGGGGCAACTGGCAGCCACTGCGGGACATTTGCCCCCTCCCCCAGTAGCGCGGAACACCTTCAATTAAGGTGGGGGGGGGGCATTGCCGACTTTTGGTCCCATTCTTTCCATGCAACGCCCATAGGGCTTATGTTAAAATGCCGAAATCAAGGGGACACGGTTCCCCGGTGTACCCCCCCCGTTCCGCCCCTTATGCCCTCTTCCCCGTTAACCCTCGCCCGTAAACGGCGATCTGCCACCTTCGCCCATGCAGGGGGGGGGGGGTTGGTGCGACCCCCCCTTGGCGTTTGAAAACGGAGCGTCGTAGAGCTTAGCGAAAAAGACCAACGGATTGCTCTCGCCGAGATCTCGCGATTGGTGGTATATTTTTTGGTCCTAGGTCAACATTTGACCTACTTTTGACCGGTCAAAGGTCAAATTTTCGGAAAAATAGACTTTTTCAACTTTCCGCGGCGATTGCGGCAAAACGGTGGGAGATATCGACTTGAAACCTTCACTATCGTGTTCCTTGATCAATTCTCTATCGTTTGGTATGTATTTCGTTTCCCTAGCTCTAAAAATGGCGCGTTGGGAGCGCCGGAACTCGGCAAGGTCACAGTCGGCGGCAGAAATTCGAAAAATCACAATTTAAATTTTTGAAATCTGATTGTATTTTTGGATTTGGAAGGTCCATTTGCTCCTTATAGAAGCTAATATTGCTGCATATTCCCATTGAGGTGACAAGAATTAGCAAAATAGTGGTTCGGGCGCTTTTCAAAAATAGTACCGGACGCTGTTCCTCTTGTGACGTCATAGCTCCGTGACCTGACCTGACCCGGTCAAGTTTCTTATACCATATGATAGCCAATACTTGCAACATGCATGGGAAGTTTCATCACGATCCATCAACCGATGTCCGTACCACCGGCAGGAAACCTCGGGCTTTGGCACTCAGTTTGTGAAAATCCGGCCGGAGGCTGTTCCCTTTGTGACGTCATAACTCCGTGACCTGACATGACCCGGTCAAATTTTTTTATCAAAAGATGTGCAAGGTTTGCCCCATAAGGTACCCAAAATTTGGCGGCGCTGCGCGCCGCCGTTTTTGCACTATTTCCGAAAAACCTCAGGGGGGGGTTGCACCAACCCCCCCTACATGGGCGAGGGTTAATGCATGTAAGCACCCACATCCAAACACTCAGACGGGTACCTAGCACACAGAGAAGACACACACAGACTCGCAGAATCACATACACACCGTTACATTAACACATATAGTCTGACAATAGACACAGACGCACAAAACACACTCAACAACAGACACAGGGACACACAGACCCCCCCCCCCACACACACACACAGGTCGGCCCTGCTCACCTGATATTCGCCGCCTCCGCCGTGGTCGGCTCCGGTGGACAGAGCTCAGTACCGTCCACACACTGTTGGACCACCCGCTCTGTCGACTGACCCGGCCGGTGGACGCAGTGCAGCTCGTGCGGCTCCGTCGGCCTTTGTTCCTGTCTGGAGCTGCGCCGGACATCAACACCGCGAGTCGGTGTGTCGGCAGAATCGATCGTGTTCAGTGAGCCGGCGGCGCGGTGTCCTAGCCTGATGACGTCAGTGGGGGGTCACCAGGGTTACAGGGACAACACGGACCGCCGGTCGATGTGCAGTCCCCCCTCCCCTCCCTTCCCCTTCCCTTCCCCAATTCCCGGGACAACTCATGCAACTCGTCAAACAAAACATAGTGACGAGCAGATATGTGCAGGGATGGAAGAGGCGGGTCTATGATCTCAGTGGATATCTCGACAAGTTGGAGGGTTCGGACCAACATCTCAGCCCTCGCCCGGTCAGGGGTTGGGGAGGGGGAGATTGATTAACTCTCGCCCGCACATGGGGGGGGGGGTGGTAACCACCTTAGGTAGGTTAAAACGGTTGGAAACGGTTAAAATGCACAAAATATGGGGGTCACAAATGCGGTTCACTGAATCGTTCTCGTAGGCCACGTGGGCCGCGTCGTACGTAAGGCCACGTTGGCCACGTCGTGCACCGGGCCGTCGCGCACCGGAGGATCCCGTCGAAGACTGTCGGGCCCCCGTCCCGTCTCAGCCCTCGTGGTAGCACAACACGTGGGCCTGAGAACCAGGACAGGGGCCAGATGACACATAGGTATGTGCCCGGCGGGGCGCGGCGGACCGACCGCCGCGCTTCGAGCGCCGGCCGTCTTTGCGAAAATACCTAAAAATACCAACGTATTTGCTCGCTAACACCTAGGTTTACCAATGTTGTACAGGAGGGACATTTTTATTGGTCCCCCTAGTTTCTACTAGTGATGTCAATTACAGACAATCGGAATACCGATACCAAACCAAATACCAACCAAAACCATGGGGAAATACCGAAACCAAACCAACTTGGGAACATGAGAGAAATACCAACTTTTTTACCGATTTCTTAGTGTCGCCGACCTTGTCGTGCCTCTGGTGGAGGCCGGGACATTTATTGTAGCGGAGGAAAAACGTAGATGAATTTTGAAGAATATATTGAAGAATTCCGGACGATAGATGATGTTGAACGGTAGACGAGGGTGAAATTGAAGAACGCAGAGTAGACAGGTAGACCAGGAAACACACTAGCACTGTCGATGGTCACTGTTGTCCGCCGAGGCGGACACACCGGCGCCGCCGCGGACGGGGCGCCGTCGGATTCACTTGCAATACGCCGGCGCGCGTCGGGGCGCCGGCGAAATCGCGCACTGCCACTGAGCTACGCGCTCAGTGGCGTTCACTTCGGCAGCCCACTTGGGGTGCCCGTTCACTTTAGCAACCCGCTGGGGGTGCCTGTTCACTGCGGCAATCCGCTAGGGATGCCGTTCACTCTGGCAGCCCGCTGGGGGTGCCGTCGGAATCGTGCGCGGTGCACGATTCCGTCACTTCACTGACACCGGCGCACATCGGGGCGCCGGTGGAGCCGCGCACCGCCACCGAGGACTGTACTCGGTGGCGTTCAAGTGGAGACTGCCCGCCGCGACTCGAGGAGCCGCCGCGGGCACAAAGAGAACAAGTAGGTTGTACATCTAAAAGCACTCAGAAAGCGACACTGGAAACTGGTGAGAAAAGTCAGAGCAGGCTCGCGCGGCACGTTCGGTTATACGATACGGTGCGCGGCGAGCACGAACAGCCGACAAGTGTGAAGCGATAGCGCGAGTGACAAATTGTAGGCAATTAGAACTTGAGACGAGAAACTAACACAAGAGCTGGTCCAGGTTCACGGGGCACGACCAGTACTGCGATAGATCACGCGTGGCTGTCAAATGTAAAAACGAAAGAGAAGAACAACAGGGCAGTTCATTTCGTCGGTGACACTTAGCCTCTTATACATTAGTGAGGATTCATGATACCAACAAAATACCAAACACATTAGGATCGAAATACCAAATACCAAGTTGGTATCGGTTTGGTATCGGTTCGGTATACCTAAAAGTTGGTATCCGATTGACATCTCTAGTACCTACCCTTTAACTCGCGCCCTGCTGGGGGTCCTGGATTTCCACGCCCTGCTGGGGGGGGGTGTTTGAACACCCCCCCTTCTAACTCGGCTCCTGGGCCACGTAGCGATACGCGGAAGGCGGCGTTCGAAAGAGCGTCAAAAATAATGAGGAAATCACAACGGTCAATTTTTTGGTCAGGTCAAAGGTCAGGTCACCAGAGGTCATTGAAGGCAAAATTTCGCCGATTTCCAGGTCGAATGTCGACAATTTCCAAGACGCCAACGCATAACTCGGGAACCAATAGAACTACAGCGCCGCGGAAAAGCGCATTCGATAGCCCTATTAACGCCCTTTCTGAATAATTTTCTCAGTTTTGACCTAACGTCAACGGTTTTGCCTGCAGGGGGCAAAAACTGCAAAAATAGCCGATTTTTCGGAAACAGTTTTTCTGCAATAACTTTTGACCCAAGCATTGTACGAGCTTACTTTTACAGGCATCGTGTTCCTCTCGTCAAGACGCATCGAATGAACTATAACTTGACCTTGAAAGGTCAACTTGAAAATTTGACCTCAGGTCAAGGTCATGACCTGACCGGAAAGGGTCATGTTGCATATCAGTCGATCCGTATCGTCGAGCTGTACACATCTAAGGCGTTTTCATCACTCTAGCATGCCTCTATCAAAAGTTATTTGCGAAAAACTGTTAGATACCATTCGTGACCTAAGATGATCTCAGGGCATAAACACTAAACAGGGGTCACGGACACCATTTTCATGTTCAGTGTGTCTAAAACACTTGTAATTCAGTGTTTGGGAGTGTTTATAATGTCTTTCGTCCAAAAGAGGCGCATTTCAATTTTCTCCCATTGACTTATAATGGGGAGGTCGCAAAATTGACCTGACCTTAGGTCATCGATATCAAAATTCTGAGATATACATTTTGTACATATTATTGCTCTTAGCAATCGCTGAAAGTTTAAAAGCGATCGGTCACTCGGTGTAGCTATGGCAGACATTGAAACTTTTTATGAGGTGAGGTCACTTCAAGTGACCTGGTGACCTGACCTTGAATGACCTTGGTCTGAAATTTTCACAACATGTGTAGAATTGATGTGTGATAAGGTGTACTAAAAACGGCGGCGCTCCGCGCCGCCGTTTTTGAGATATTCGCGAAAAACCACAAGGGGGGGTGTTCAAACACCCCCCAGCAGGGCGCGGGTTAAATATTGTGTGTCTAGATGCCATATGTCAATCGCCAGGGGGTCATACCGCGCCCCGTTGCCGCTCGCATTAGGAAAAACGATCTGGCATTGAGAAGAATCTGACTCACCTACAGCGTTATGTCGGACTTACAGCGAAGTGATAGGTACTGTGTATTGCAATTTGCAGGGACCGTGACATTTTAACCGAATCATGTCATCTTGCATATCAAAACAGTGTAGTTATTTCCAAACGAACAAAAAAGTAGCTGTTCAAATTACCTTTGTATCAATGGGAAACGTACCGGCTGGGGACGTACCGGCTGGGGACGGCTGGGGACGTATTGGCTGGGGACGTACCGGCTGGGGACGTACCGGCTGGGGACGGCTGGGACGTCATATTTCCCAGGTGTCTCGGAGACCATCTCGTCTACGACATGTCATCCCGGCCCCACCCCGTGCCGTGCTGCCACCACGCCACCGAACGCCACTGACCAGCCCTAAGGTGTCGGCGGGTGTGCCTCTTTTCTACGGCCATTTTCCAGCGGCCGGCCCGAGCCAGTCGCGGGAGGCGCTGCTGATTGGTCTGTGCGTGGCGCGCGTGCCGCAGAGGCGTCTGCTGATTGGTCTGTGCGTGGCGCGCGTGCCGCAGAGGCGTCTGCTGATTGGTCTGTGCGTGGCGCGCGTGCCGCAGAGGCGTCTGCTGATTGGTCTGTGCGTGGCGCGCGTGCCGCAGAGGCGTCTGCTGATTGGTCTGTGCGTGGTGCGCGAGCCGCAGAAGCGTCTGCTGATTGGTCCGTGCGCAACGCGCGAGCCGCAGTGACGTCTGCTGATTGGTCTGTGCGTAACGCGCGAGCCGCAGAGACGTCTGCTGATTGGTCTGTGCGTGGCGCGCGTGCCGCAGAGGCGTCTGCTGGTTGGCTTCGGCTGCGCCGTCTTCTGGCCGCCTTCGCCGCGTCCCCCTCACCGCCCCCTCCGGCCGAGACGGGTCCGTCTGGCGAGACGTTCGGAGCGGTGTGTCCATGTGGAGTGAATGCACTGCTAGCCACTGCAATGTTGATCAAGACAGCCCATATTCAGCCCGGATTCAGCCCAGATTCGGGACACCTCCGATCAAGCTGAAACTCGCATACAATGTAGGCCATAACGTGCCCAATCCACAGTCCAAGTCATTTGGCGGCACTCCCAGCCGTTTGACCTAGAGAGGTCAGCAAAGGTCACGTGGCCAAAATTTGCACAGCAAATTGTGGCCCACCCAGTAGAGCTAGAGCGCTAAAAATGGCACCAATCGACTCGCCAGCATCTAATCTTACTTTCCCAACACTCATTTGACCTCTCAAGGTCATGCGATGACCCAAGGTCATTTGTGGGCTATGTCGAAAATACACTTGCACAGCAGTTTTCGAGTAGAGGAATTGATTATTTTCGACATAGCCCACAAATGACCTTAGGTCATCGCATGACTTTGATAGGTCAAATGAGTGTTGGAAAAGTAAGATTAGATGCTGGCGAGTCGATTGGTGCCATTTTTAGAGCTCTAGCGCTACTGGGTGGGCCACAATCTGCTGTGCAAATTTGGGCCACGTGACCTTTGCTGACCTCTGTAGGTCAAACGGCTGGGAGTGCCACCGAATGACTCGGACTGTGGATTGGGCATGTCAGCACCTACATGGTGTGTGATTTTCAGCTTGATCGAAGATGTCCCGAATCTGGGCTGAATCCGGGCTGCAACGTATTTAGTGTCGTTTATTTGCACATTTTGACCTGCCGAGGTCAAACGGGGTCACATATCGAAAAGCTGTTTTTAAGGAAAGTTACTACGGCCTATGGGCTACCCATTGATGTGCTTTGATTTGGAATTCGGTCAAGCCCTCTACTCGAA